GCAGGAGACACTGAAAGAAACCGTAAAATCTGTTTCGTACTATGAATGAAGAATGTGTCTGGAAAGAAAGTAAAGGTGTCCGGGGCGGCCTTGGAGCAAGAAATGATAAGACCAAGGAGGAATTTGTGGTCAGTACATTGCAATGAGTTCATCTTTCAATAATGTTCTTTGCTCCAAACATTTGGCAATGAAAAATAAGACATAAAAGAAAAAAGATGTAGGCAGGCTTTGATATAATATCTTCATGGACCAGAAAACAGAAAAAATGAACATACTTGGGGGAAGCTGGTCATTGGAAATAGAGTTCCTTTTGGCTATGAGATATTTCTGTAGGTTAAAGGGGACCAAAAGTGCTCCATATAAGATGGGAAACTAGAGCCAGGATCAAAGCTTGAATCAGGATTGAGTTGTTCTCCACCTTTCTACCTGGTATAAAAGAGCTGCATCAAAATGTAAGCTGAGAGATTTATTCTGTAAGCATTATCAAAAAGTTGAATATGAAGAAGCTAAGACTTTATAACAAAAAATTTTAAACTCTAGATAAATGGATTATTTTCTGGAAGGATTTAATTAGCAAAATTGAATCAGGAAGAAGTAAGATACCTAAATCAACTAAGAAATTGAGCTAGTAGGAAAATTTCTGAATTCCTTCAATTTCCAGTGTCCAAAGGTGGTTTCATAGGCCTACTTTACCAAATTTTCAAGGAACAGATAACAACTGTGTTTTATCAAATGTTTTACAATACAGGGAAAAGAAAAAGGTAATCAGCTCATTTTATAAAACTAGTATAACCTTGAGAGCAAAACTTCAAAAGGACAGTGTGGGAAAATTATAGAACAATTTCACTTATGAAAAATAGGCACAAAAGCGTAAGCATATAAAATTCAGCAATGTGTTTATATATGTATCTCATGACCAAGGAGGATTTATGCCAAGAATACAAGCATGGCTCAACGTAATATCATAAAATCTATTAGTGTGGTACATTATATCAATGAGTTAAAAAGAAAAATCATAAGAATATTATAATAGATGGAGGAAAAAATTCAATAAAATTTAACACCCAGACCTAAGAAAAATTCTTTAGCACACTAGAAATAACAGGAATGCCAATAAATTAATAAATGGCATTGTACCAGATATTTCCATTTGTTTCTCCAGGCCCACCTGCACATTTCTCTATCCTGTTGTCTGCCTGTAAAGATGAGCCAGTTTCTCCTGCTTTCTGGCTTTGCATTGGGTTCAGCCACTGAGGAGCCCTACCAGGAGATCTGAGAGAGGAAAAGGAATGAGGTCAGGGTATTTCTTCTTCTGGCTTCCTCCCTGCAAGGTCATTTTGAGTTGCCATAGTAGATATTAAGTCTTAGCTTAAAGGTACATAATTAAGGCAGTGTGCAATTCCTATGGAGGTACACAAATAAGGCAGTGCAACAGAAAAGAGAGCCCAGAAAGAGACTCAGGAAGTTCTGGAAATTGGATATATGACAGAAGTAACATTTCAAACCAATGGTAACAGAATGGATTATTCCATGAAAAGTGCTAGGACAACAAATTATTCAAAGGGAAAAAAAGTAAAATTAGATTCCAGCTTTATACCTGCACATAAATGAATTTCACATGGATTAAGACCTAAATGTGAAAAGGTAAATATTAGAAATTTTAGAAAGAAAGAATGAGAATATCTTTATGGTCTTGGGAAAATAAAAATTTCTAAGATAAAATACAAGAAATACAAAATATAAAGATTAAGATTGAGAAATTTGACATTAGAAGTAGAAATCTGTGTACACACACACACACACACACACACACACACACACACACAGGAAAGGCAAACAGACCATAGATGGAGAGAAGATATTTGTAACATGTATAACTAACAAAGGACTAGATCCAAGATACAGAAAGAATTCTCACAAATCACTGAGAAAAAGATAGAAAATGGCCAAAGAATTAGAAAGGGCAAGGAAAGGGAAGGAATTTGTGACTAATTATATAATATCAAAAACAATGAAACCATCCAAGTCAGAACTATCCTCCTTCTCTCTCACCAGCAGTCTTTACGCTCATCTGTCTCCCCTCTCCATTCATTCAGTTACCATGTATTCAACACATAGTTATTGATCACCTATTATGTGTCATGTACTCTTCTAGATACTTGGATACATTAGTGAAGGTAACAAACATCCCTGCCTCTGTGAAAATTATGTTCTAGCACTGGTGGTGGTCAACAGGAAGCAGTGAAGAAAACACACAAAGAACATAACAGGTGAGTCAATTGCTTGGTGTGTTAGGTGGACATAAGTGATCTGGGGGAAAGAAAAGATAGTGAAGAGTCAGGGGAATCAGGAGTGCCAGGGTAAGGGCTGCAATTTCAAAAGGTTGTCATAACTAATCTTATAGGGAAGGTGAGAGTTAAGCAAAACTTTGGAGATGAGGGAGTCATCCAAAGAGATCACTCAAGGACATAAAATATGGGACTGAGGGTGGGGACCATCTCCACTTTAGGTTGGACCTAAGAAGGCTGAATGAGATGGTGAGTCAGACCAGAGGGACAGTGATAACCAACTTAGCAAAACAGGACAGGCATATTTGATTCAGAGTTCCTGAGCAGAAGCTCTCAGATCTTAGCAGCTCCAAATTGGAGATCTTAGCAGCTCCAAATTGGAGAACCTTAGTTCATGACCTGCTCTTCACTTTGAGGAGTAGATGTTCAGGAAGTGGAGAGAGCCAAATATGCAACTCAAATTATTTAGGATGCAATTAGATTTGGTTTAATAATTAAAAATACTTTCAGAATTTTCTTTGGCAGAGATTAGGCTATTAATTAACATGTCATGGGAACCCAGCATTTATTATTCTCTCCAAAACCCATTTGTGGTGGAAAATGTGCTGAGCCTCATTTGTGAAGATAATTATAGTTGAAGTCTTTGGGAGTGTCTGCCAAGTTCCCAGTGATTTCCCTCTTCTCTGGGAGCTGCTTGCAGAATCTATAGGGGTGGGGGAGGATTGCTCCTCCGCTCACATTTTCTGCATAAGCATATATCCTCTGATCACAGCTCATTGAAACATAATTGGAATCATGAGCAAAGCTGAGCCAGTCAGATCTGTTTTTCCCCAGGAATTTAAAATTGGAGCCAGAAGGGCCAGAGCAGTCTGTCCATTTGACTGGAACTGTAAGATGCAGATTCAGGGCAGCCGTATTTCACTACATGGCCTTGAGGAGCAGAGAACATCAGTCTGCAGAGAGAAGAGTAAAGCAAATGCATGGAGAGGAGCTTAGAGGAGTCACATGGGGAGTTATGCCTTTCCCGTTGCAAGGCACAGCTCTTCCCTGATGTCCAGGTGCCTCCTAGCTCTTGGGTTCTACAAAACAGTCCTATATCCTGTAATTCATCACATTGACTGCTTTGGCTAGTCCATTGGATTTCCAATACAGTGATGCTACAGATCTGCAATAGCAGGGAGTGCCCTCTGATTTTTTTCCCACCAGGAAAATAGGTCTTACTATCATTCATTCATCTTTTCATTCACTCACCATTCATTCACTCACAAACTTTTGTGGGGTACATATGTGACTGAACATATAACACTAATAAGACATAGTCCTTGCACTCAAATAATTCATTAGTCTTGATTCCTTAGGATGTGGGGGTGCAGTCTTTGATTCAGAAATACCAAAGTTCTGTTTTTGAGCTTGATTGACTTGAGAGAATCAAAGCCTAACTTTAGCTGATTTAGGGTTGATAGATAGCACAAGTACTTTGTAAAATATAGACTGCTACACATTTTTCATTGGTTATAGTAATATTTTCTATTTGAGTTATTTGGCTTAGAGGCACCTCATGAATAGATATTAAACACTCCTTTAAAGGCTGCTTTTGATTTGAGAATAAAACAAGGTTTTAAGTTGTTGAGTTTAGCTAGAGATTTCAAAAATTTTAAATTAAGTATCAGTTTGATATAATTATACTTTATTTTTCTTTAGCTAAGCAATATTTTGAGGCTTCTAATATTTTGGGAGAAGATGATGCTCTTTTTCTGACCAAAGGATATAATCACTTCAAACAATGATTGTGAGCTTCTGGAGAAGACAGATAAATAAAAACCAACTGAAACAGAAATAATCTGCAACAAATGAGCTCAAACACCTCTGGGATTGGTCCAGAGGTCTGGGTGAATTGTGGAGCAGATGGTATTTAGCTCCAATTCCATTTGTCAAATGTCAATGATAGATCCTGCTCACAGAGAGCCCCAAACCCTCCTCTTAGCTTATGCTCATTTTCAAGGATCCACTCAGATCTCTTTCACCCTCTAGGATGAGAGTTGAAATTTATAATTCTCTAGAGGGGATTAATTCAATATTGATTAAGGTGAATGTATTTAAAGCTCTTGCTTTGCTGCTTTGGAATCCAATGTTCTCAATTTCAACAATCAGTTAACATTTAAAATGGTAAAATGTTAGGGATACAGGGTTACAGACAGCAACTGTGCTGATGTTTAAGAGCACACAACCTTTGGCTGGTTGATAAGTGGCCTCATCCGTAGGCAAGTTAGTTAACTCTCTAAACCACATGTGTAAAACAACTCTTCCTTCCTCATGAAGGGGTATCAGGATTAAATGAATGACACAGATCAAGTTACCTAGAGTATATCTGACTTGTAGTTAGGTTATAATTAAATAGTGGCCATTGGTGTTATTGTTATTATTGTTTAATGCAAGTGGTTTCCTCATAGACATCCAACTAATCAAAGCAAGATTCAGGTCCTCTGAGTCCCATCATGACCATGTCTTTTGTGCTATACATCCTTCTTTTTTGGTGGTGGTCCTACAAGTAAAATCACTATGAAAGGAAATCCTAAAGAAATATGGTCTTTGCAATCAACAGCATTCGCATTCTCCTTATCTTGTTCATTTTCAATACCCCTCATTTATGATCAGAGTTAAAAAGGGATGTTACCATTAAATTCCTTATGAAGCCTTTTAAATTCATCTTACTTGAAGTCTTCGTGGTGGATGCCTTTTAATAATACTTGTTTCTCCCTGTTCCAGTGGGATGTCAAAATCTGGCACTTGAAGGATTCGGGGAGAAATAAGAACAAATCATTAAAAATAATTTACTATTAAATTAGGCTGATCATTAATCATTAGACTTGTTAACATAATCTGGTGACTTTTCAGTTGTGTATGTCCAACTTATAGGTTGAATGTGGAGATGAGACACATAAATCAGGGGCTATACCTGAATGCAAGTGATACAATATTAGCCTACTAATACTAAATCCTACCAGGATATAATTTCTGCTTTCCTCATTTCCTCACCAGATTGGTATTTAAAGGAAGATCTAAAAAAAAATCACAATGAATTGACTATAAATGTTATTCAAACATAGAACTTGACCTGGAAAATAGATTTAATGATTTGTTTTATTTTCATGAAATCTCTCCAAAATAAATATTGGAAATCAGAGAAAAATATAGGTTTAAGAAATGAAAATAAATTATTTTTAGATGAAATAAATGGCAGATAGATAGGTTACATAAAAGGAAGAAGTGATAAATTGAAGTTTGAGTCTGTAATAGAAGTATATGCCGTGTTTGACATTGTATATTCCCAGTTAAATAGTCCCCCCAACTAGGGAAAGAAACTCCCACAGTTGCTACTATACTACAACCTATGTATCAGTATTTTTTTCTGGTGGAGCAAGCCAGGGCTACAAAGTTAACCCTTGTTAGAATACATTATTGATTTCATTTATTAGCTTGATTATCCTGACACCTTAGGACTATACCATGACCAATGCTGCATGAATAAAGTTCTGTCCTTTCCTCCTAACTATCTGGAAGCATTCTGATTTCTAGATTGTTGTGTAGACTATCCCACAGCCCCACTTTTCATTCTAAGTGGAAAAAAATCCTGGGGTATTCATGTGTATCTATTCTTACCACATTTGAATAACCATCTTAAAACTTTTTTATGTCCTTATTTTCTTTCAAGAGATGCCAGTATATTGAGCAAGAATAGAAACAAGGGTAATGGAAACAAAAAAATATTGGGTTTAAAAATGAAAATATTTCTGGCAAAATATTTTCAGCACCCTTACTACTCATTATTTTCATACTATGATGAGCGGTCTTAGAATTTATCTAAGTAATAATGATATCACCATATTATTTAATTTGATTCTCTCAAAATGGTATAGACTGTGTCCATCAGTTATTCTTAGTACTGATTTGTAGATGAAGGAAATTGATGCAGTAACTTGCTCCCAAGTCATACAATTTAGTATTTGGTGGAGCTGGGGTTAGATTACAGATCTCTTGAAAATAGTGATCAGAACACTTACCATCCCCTTGTTATTTATTCTTAATGGGATCTTGTTATTTCAAAAACAAGAACATTTTCAGGTGGGACTGTAATATATTAGAATCAGGTTTTACCATTTACTTACCAAAATCTTAAAACTCTGGATAGAATGTTTGGGTAAAAAAGGAATTCTTCCATGAAACTAGAGGAAAATTCCCATTCATGTGCTTAGAAAGTTGGAGAACATAAAAGTAGGCTATGTGGAACCAAGCGGTTCTACAGAAAGTAGCCATGAAAATCAGTTTAGGTAAGATACACCACACAGTGAAAGAGAATATAAGGCTTTCTGGCCAACTGAACCAAAAATGGGAACTTACTTGCATTATTGATCCAGAATGTGAAGAAAAGAGAAAATTACATCCATGTATATGTATGTATACATTATATATTTATATTTCTCTTCCCAAGTTAGAATAGCTCTTTAATTATCACTGTGGTTGTCATTAAAACATTTAACATGTCTTATAAAATATCCCAGGGTAATTTATAGCCCCTGTAAGTTCAGAGCTCCCCATCATAATGGGAAAAATTTCTCTTAGTTTTGCAGATGTCAGAACTTGATTCATATTCTGCATAAAAAATGTGGTGTTGGGGAGGGTGACTCATCCGTTCGGCAATAAATCCATTCTGCTTGGGGTGGTTCCAAATACACATTAGTGTGATACAGTCCTAAAGTGGTGCTTTCAAAACAACAAAGCCTGATGCATTAAACGGTACTGGAGAGAATGATTTAAATTTAGAATTTAGTCAAAACATATGATTGTCATAGTTTATCACATCTTTATACAATTTTATCTGGCAACGCTAGGTATAAACATTGAAAGCACTATAAGCTGAAACAAAAATGATCTTTTCCTTCTCATGCGGAATGGTGTAAAGCCATTTGCACACAGTTTACACACTCATTCTTATGTATGCAGACTACTTACAGCTGACAAATATTCAACTTCACATTGAAAGGTGTTCCCTTACATTTCAGTAATTTAGAAACTTTCTGAGATTATGGAGATAGAAAGTCAGGTGAATCTGTCAGTAGCCCTTCTTGACCCAAGTACAACAATCTCAGGCTGAGTTACACATTTACCTGAAGAATATCTTCCATACCAGGTGTCTCGTAGCGGCGGCAGCTGCCCTTTTGAAGCTTTATTCCAGTCCTGCAGTCTTGCAAAGGATTCTGAACTCTTTTCTTCCAGAGTATTATGGAATGCAAACTCCACAGGGCTGGCTGAGGGAGTCTTTTCCTCCTTGTTTTGCAAGGGTGCTACTTTGGTCACCCTAGGGTAAGCCTTAGAGTGGCTCAGGCCCATTTCACATTAAAGACATTCAAAGGAAACCTATGAGGAAAGTGGTTTTGGGGCCTTTCATGTAACTGGTTTTAACTAAGCTTTTTCAGAAATTTACTGTGATTCTCCAACGCAGTCATTTGCCTCGTGACATCTTTCTAGTTCTGTTTCGCCACACACTAACCCCTCTGGCCACTTCCTGGGAGGCTGGTTTCCATGGAGACTTGCCTTCAACTCCTGCTTTGCCATTTCAGACCTAAAAGAATTCAGTTAAACATTGACTTGGTTATGCTGCTTTCTGAAAGACTCAGTGGTAGGAATGGAAACCTCTATTGATCATTAAACAAATCTCTAACACCAGGAAGGCTGTTAACAGAGATGGGGAGCAGAGGTCTGGAGAAGTCTTAAACTTGATGCTTTCATTATGTATACCTATGAACACCATCTGTAACAGCTACCAACTGAAAATAGCCAAATCACTTCTGGAAATGAAGGGATGCATGCTAATCATCATTTGTTAATCTTAATTTGTTAATTTTAATTGAAGAATTTATTTTCCAAATAGGAAAGAAAACGGCAGAATGGCTAAAATAATTTTATTTTTCTGCCAATAACTTGACTTGCCTTTGACAGGGATGAACACATTACAGGAAGGCAGGAATTTTTTCCTGGGCATAAGGGGACAATCTTCTTGAATCAGTGGTTCAAATAAACCTTGAGTTTTCAAAGATAGTTGATTTAAATGTTAAAAAAAGAAACAAAAAGACTGGAAGGAAATGTGATGAAATGTTAAGTACTGATTTTTGAATGGTGGGACTACAGGTGATTTTATTTCATTTTCTATACTTAGAAACAAAACTCTCAAGTTTTAATTATTCATGACTGCAGATTAGTCATGGTTTTATCATATCTGTATGTTCAAAGAAATTTATTTTTCATTTTTGCAAACTCCATTTGCTAAGAGGCTAATATGGGTTTGGAAAGTCATGATAGCCAATAGTGTTCATCTAGAAAGATGTCTGAGTTTAATTTTTTCCTACTCACTCCATGTGCATTTTACACAGTTTTCTCTGTGACAGAGAAACTTGTAAGATAGAATATACATATATTGGGGAGCAGAGGTCTGGAGAAGTCTTAAACTTGATGCTTTCATTATGTATACCTATGAACACCATCTGTAACAGCTACCAACTGAAAATAGCCAAATCACTTCTGGAAATGAAGGGATGCATGCTAATCATCATTTGTTAATCTTAATTTGTTAATTTTAATTGAAGAATTTATTTTCCAAATAGGAAAGAAAACGGCAGAATGGCTAAAATAATTTTATTTTTCTGCCAATAACTTGACTTGCCTTTGACAGGGATGAACACATTACAGGAAGGCAGGAATTTTTTCCTGGGCATAAGGGGACAATCTTCTTGAATCAGTGGTTCAAATAAACCTTGAGTTTTCAAAGATAGTTGATTTAAATGTTAAAAAAAGAAACAAAAAGACTGGAAGGAAATGTGATGAAATGTTAAGTACTGATTTTTGAATGGTGGGACTACAGGTGATTTTTATTTCATTTTCTATACTTAGAAACAAAACTCTCAAGTTTTAATTATTCATGACTGCAGATTAGTCATGGTTTTATCATATCTGTATGTTCAAAGAAATTTATTTTTCATTTTTGCAAACTCCATTTGCTAAGAGGCTAATATGGGTTTGGAAAGTCATGATAGCCAATAGTGTTCATCTAGAAAGATGTCTGAGTTTAATTTTTTCCTACTCACTCCATGTGCATTTTACACAGTTTTCTCTGTGACAGAGAAACTTGTAAGATAGAATATACATATATAAGAAAGAATATATAATATATGTTAACAGTATCTGCAAACAAAATTACCTCTGATAACTAGAGACTAGTTTAATTACAAAGATTAAAATACTTAAACATTATCTTGTCAGGTTTATTTGGACAAAATCAGTTCAGTATTTCTAAGGGCAGGGGAAAGTATTGCAAACTAGCGATAAACTAGAAATTGTACTGGAAACTGTGGACTTTATGAATCTGGACCAGTGAGGATTCAGCTCTGAATTTTGGCTTTATTATTATTTAAATTTGAGAGACTGTGGAGAATTTGAGCCTTTGTAGAGGAAGTTAGTTAATTGTGGAGGAAATGATAAAGAAATGAAGATTTGCGCTGTGTTCGTTTCTCTTTCTATTACTAGCTACATCCAAGCTTTGTAACTTGCCTAGATTACTCATCCATTCCATGTGTCAATTTCCTCATCTTTAAAATGGGATTAATGATAATATTTCCTGAAGAGTGAATCAGTTGAGAGCTCTTAGAATAATACTTGACATACAGTGGGCTCTCTGTAAATATTAGGCAGTATTCTTCTGGTCCTGAGGAAATATTGTGACATGTCTACATGTGTTAAGATAGTCTTTATTACCCATTGGTCAGAATCCATTAAAATAGGCATATTCCTATACACCTAAGTACAGACAGGACCACTGAGGAAAGGGTGAATTAATTGGGTCTCCTTAACTGGATCTCACCTATAGAGTTATATGTAAGATATAATTTCTTAACCACACAAGTCAGAAAATATTTTAAAAGGTCACATCCACCCAAACCTTGACCATTTTCAGACTACCTACAATACTTTATAATGAGCCCTTGCTGTTCAAGAATGGTTATGAGCATGCATTATAAGATGAAAATATGATGATGACTGTAAAAGTCAGAATTTGTGAATATAAAGTGAGAATATAAATTTATCAATGTTGTAAGGCAGAGAGGATTTAGTTAAATTTCTCTAAAGCAAAAGATAGTGCCCAGAGAAAGCTTTATTAGGACAGAGGATATAGAGGGAAAAAGAAGAAAAGAAGAAGGTGATGGCCCAGGAGGAGAGGAGAGGAACAGGAATCAACAGTGTGGGTGAAATTGCAATATTTGCAGAATCTCTCCCCTGGCTTTAGTGCATCGGCATATCAGTAGGTGTTTCCAAGGAGTGGAGAGAATTAGTCCATCTACATATCAGTAGGTAATTACAAGGGGTAGCGAGGGCTTATCTGGACCCGAGAGGTTAGGTGGAGCTCTCTTCTGCAGCAGCCAGGTCAGGAGAGGGACAGGGACGACTGCTTGTAAGAAATAAAAGGGTTTCACAAGTAGTGATTCTATAGCATCTTAACACGCTGATAGACAGTGACTGTAATGGGCTATGTGGCGGGGGGGACTTGGTGATGGGGGCAGTCTCGTAACCATAATGTTGTTCATGTAATTGTACATTAATGATAGCAAAATAAAAATTAAAAAAAATCAAAAAAGCCTAGGCTACTACATATAAGCAGGAAAAAAAAAAAAAGAAATAAAAGGGTTTCTTAACTTTATTTCTCCCTTTGACTGATTATCGTTTTAGAGCTATTTTGCCCTGGGACTTCCCCCCTGGAGTTAACAAATAGCCAAATATGCTATTTTCACATTTGAGGGGTGGGAACTCCCAACTTGGAGCAGCTCTACAGGCAGCTTGGCCATGGGGTTCCCCAGGAATATCCTTGCCCAAGCTCAGAGCGCTCACACATTTCTTTGAACACCTTCCTTCAAGACACGTGGTGAACCCAGCTCCTGTTAGCTGCACTCCTAACTGCCTCTCCAGCCTTTAGATCCAGAGGAGGGAGGAGGCAAAAGCTACACAGCTGCTTTCTCAGCCAGAAGGCTCTGCTTTTGTTCTTGGTTCACTGGCTGTGGGCAAAATTGTTAAAGATCTTGTTAGTGGGTTGAAATTCTATGGAAACTCACTTCACATTCATAGGAGATGCATAGATTTTCCCATTCTCTAATAAGAGAAAGTTTTACATTTCAATGATGGAGAGCTTTAAGTGTGAGTTTGGCATCCAAGAGTGGCTGAGACACCCTCTGTTTTCCTTACAAGCTGTTATAGCTTTTTTTACTCTACAGTATCTAATCACAGCCAGAAAGACACAAGCTTGCGTGCATGTGTATGGAAACTTTGCCTACCTTTGGTCGTTGGATTGTGATTTCACAGCTCTTCCTTTAGTTTTGATGGACTTCCCAGGGCCATCCACACTCTCTTGGCCTCCCACCTTGATAAGATGGCTCGTGGAGACAAGGAGCCTGAGGAGAGGACAGGCAGACTTTCTACAGGTAGCTCACCAGTGCTAAGTGAACCAAATGGGAAATGGTGATTACAGTAGCAGTAGGTGCTAAGCAGCTACAGACAAATAGAAAACCATACAAATGCTCGATTGCTGTGTATATTAATGGGTAGTAAATGAAAAAATTTAAACAGTCTAATATTGGACAAATGAGTTTCTTTTTTTAATGGGCTGTGGATATATACATTTGTGAGACAGGGACCTTTGGTATAGTTTGAGTAGGGTGAGGGCCTCCAGAAAAAGCAAAGCAGGATATTGAGTCAGAGCAATGTAACTACATGCAAGGAAACCCCCTACCAAAACTCTGTTAAACATTAAGCTCTAGAGTCATTCTTCAGTGAGATCAGTTGATATTCCCCAGATAAAGAAAAGTAACTCATACTTTTATTATGCTAATCTTTTGTAATCATGTGTAAGATTCACTTTAGCATGCTAAAAGGGACTTAATGTCACATCAAGGACAAACATCCTAAGACCACTTTTAACAAGTCCACACCCCTAAGCCCTTTATCAGTTCCCCCAAATCCTCAACTGCCCATAAATCCCCTAGACAATGCACAACCCCGGGATCTCTTGTCCCCTCCTCCTGCAAGCCAGGAGCTTTTTCCTCTTACTTTATCTCTAAATAAAAGCCTCTCATTTACTTTCCTACTTTGAGTGTTTGTAAAGTTCATTCTTTGACTCCATGAACAAGAACCCCAGCATCATTTGGATGTTTTATATTAAGCAGGTGATGAATGGTAAGGTGATATTCCTTAGGATAGGATGATCGTGGTCGGGAGTCAGGTTGGTTATGAGACAGGGACCGTGGGTATAGTCAGAGTAGGGTGAGGGCCTCTGGAAAAAGCAAGGCAGGATATTTGCAGTCAGAGCAATGTAACTACATGCAAGGAACCGCCCCCCCCTACTAAAACTCTGTGTTAAATCTTCAGCTGTAGAGTCATTCTTCAGTGAGAACAGTTAATATACCCCAGATAAAGAGGAGTAGCACAATTTTATTTTATGCTAATTATTTATAATCATGTATAAGATTCACTTTAGCATGCTTAAAGGCCCAGGCCTATGTGCTGTCTTTCCT